AACAAGCACAAGGCCCTGAATTCAAACTCTAGTACCACCAAAAACAATAGGAAAAAAACACAAAAACCACACACAGACTTACACTGCAGTCCTTGTGGAGAAGGTAATCATGTGTCAGGTGTAACAGTGGAAGGAGGATCTGAACCTGGGTCTAGGCAGGGAAAGCATGTGAGTAAAGGGACCTGTTAACATAGGGGTGAGCTCTGGAAGAAGGTGTCACATCTAAAGAAGACCTCTGGAGATGCTTACCAGGGTACATAGGGATAGTTTTGATTTTTTTTGTTTTGTTTTTTTGAGCTTTATGCATAGGCACTTGTTGCTTAGTCCAAAAAATAAGTTTTTTAAATGAAGTAACTGCTACTTAGCCACAACCTATCTTTTCCTTCTGGGACTGTAGGTGATTGTGATAAATGATAAGCTAATAAGAACTGCTGCTAATCATATTGCACAGATATTTAGGCAGCTTAAAACATCTTCAAGATCACTGGAACTCAGGAGTTCAAGACCAGCCTGGACAACCTAGTGAGACCTCATCTCTAAAAAAATAAGTAGGTCCTGATCATGGAATTCTATTGAGCTTTCAGAAAACTTAGGTATCTTTATGGAAAAGATCTCAAACATGGATGTTTCCTTTGCTGTATGTATGTGCAGTTTTTAAAAACAAACAAACAAACATTGGTATTAGCCTGGCACTGGTAGCTCACACCTGTAATCCTGGGCTACTCAGGAGGCTGAGATCTGGGAATTGCGGTTTGAAGCCAGCCCAGGCAGAAAAGTCCCTGTGAGACTCTTATCTCTAGTTAGCCACCAGAAAACTGAAAGTGGAGCTGTAGTTGACAGTAGTAGAGTGACAGCCTTGAGCAAAAGAGCTCAGTAACTGCACCTAGGCCTTGAGTTCAAGCCCCATACCACCACCACCACCACCAACAAAAACCAAACGTTGGTACTATTTTAATTAATATAAATAAAAATGCTCCTGAGTAATTCTATGCCTTCTGACAAATGTATATACTCATGTAATAACTTCACAAGGTAGAAAACATTTCATCACCCCCAAAGAGCTCCTTTGCAGTCAACACTCACCAGGACTTCCTATACCAGGAAACTTCCATCTCTTTTTATCACTGTATGGTTTTGCCGGTATGTAGGAGTTATAATTATTATAAATTACATCATACATTGTATATAGCTTTTGCTTATGTTTTTGGGATATATTTATATTGCTGTATATGTGAATAGTTTGTTCCTTTTTTGCTGCTTATGTGGAATATTCCATTAATATTGATACTTTGAGGGCTTGAGAGCATTACTCAAGTGGATAGAGTACCTGCCCAACAGGAACAAGGCAAGTTCAAGCCCACTACCATCATTGTTAATTCATTGTTAATCTATTTGTTTATCCCTAATGGATATCCGGATTGTTTCTGTTTTCATGCCTGTTTGAATAAAGTTGCTACCAGCATTTCTTTACAAAGCTCTGTGTACTCATGTTTTTATTTTTCTTAGGTGCCTACATGAAAATGGAATAAGTAGATGAGATGTTAAGTAAATACTTCACATTTTTCCCCCCTGGGACTTGAATGGATGCTGGCCTTGAGCTTCTTTTGCTCAAGGGTAGCACTCTATCACCTGAGCCATGGAGCCACTTCTGGCGTTTTTGAGTAGTTTATTGGAGATAAAGAAGAGTCTCACAGCCAGGTGCCAATGGCTCACCCCTAATCCTAGCTACTCAGGAGACAGATTTGGTAATCTCAGCTCAAAGCCCGGGCAGGAAAGTCTGTGAGACTCTTACCTCCAATAAACAAGTGCAAAACCGGAAGTGGTGCTGTGGCTTAAACCAGTAGAGCGCTCTCCTTGAGCTGAAGAGCACAGGGAAAGTGCCCAGGCCCAGAGTTCAAGCCCCACAACCGATCCCTCCCCCACCCAAAAAAAAAATCTTGGCAATTTTGTATAAATATGGTAATCAACCAGGGCTTGAGGCATCGCTCATCTGGCCTACCTATACTGCCTAGCAAGCAGAAGACCAAGTTCAGACCTTAAAACTGTAAAATCAGAGACCAAACCTGTCAGGATCCTTCAAGACCATCCCATGGGACCACACAGAGGCAAGCAGGCACAGGAAAAAGATTATTATAAGGCTTATTAGAGGGGCCAAATCTCCCTGGAAAGGAACCACATGGCATCTGCCTCTATCCAAGTGGCAGGTAGTTCTAGGGCTAGTAGTGAGGTAGGTACATGCACAGGTAGGTCTAGGCAGAGAGGGAGTGGCTAGCTGTAAGGCAGGAAGTCTAGGACAGGGTGGAGCTGAAGACTTTACATAAGGATAATGCTAACAAAACTGGATTATTAGTTATCGGAAATAGGGCCAGATATTAAAGGCTGAGCCCCTCTATAGAGAGAAACTCCAGATCAAATGGCTAGTAGTCAGCTTAAGCCTTTTCCATCCTTGGTAAAAGCAAAAGAACATCTCTCTCTCTCACTCAAGTTTCCTAGGCTGGCAGCTTTGCTGAAGGCCACTGACAACCTTGAGGTGTATCACCAGCTACCTGTGTTGCTATATTAGCCAAAGGCTTATATTAAAAATGATTTCTTAAGGGTTGGGAAGGTGGCTCAATGGTTGAGTGCTTGCCTTGCATGCATGAGGCCCTGGGTTTGATTGCTCAGCACCACATAAGCAGAAAAAGCTGGAAGTGGTGCTGTGGCTCAAGTGGTAGAGTGCTAGCCTTGAGCTGAAGAGCTGAGGGACAGCGCCCAGACCCAGAGTTCAGGTCCCATGTCCGACCAAAAAAAAGAAAATTTCAGTAAATCCCCAACCATTGGAATGAATTTCTAATGTTTTGAGAATCATGGGAATGGGAATGCGTTTCTAATTTTTGAGATTTAAAATATACAACGCTTATTCAAGGCTATGTTTTACTTATGCTTCTGTAGCTTAAGTCTGTTTTGCGTTTGCAAATCTGCTTGCTTGCTTTGACAAACACCACCTGTGTGGTTTTTTCCCTTTTTAAACCCTGCAGTAAGAGATCTTGGCTGCTGTATCCTACTACCCAAATAGGGTAGCCACACAGTTAATGAAAGCTCCTTGCCCTGTTTAACTGAGTCAGTAGCCTTATTTCCAGATTTGGGATTCTTCAGCACCCCACTCCACTCCCACCAAAAAAAAACAACCTAATTTTACTTATTTTGGTGTTAGTACTGAGACTTGAACTCTGGGACTCACACTCCCCCCCCCCCTTTTTTTTTTTTTGGCCAGTCATGGTGCTTGAACTCAGGGCATGGGCACTGTCCTTGAGCCTCTCTGTGCTCAAGGCTAATGCTTTACCACTTGAGCCACAGTACTACTTCCAGCATTTTCTGTTATGTGGTACTGAGTTCATGCATGCTAGGTATGTACCCTCTACCACTAAGCCACATTCCCAACCTTTCCCTTCCCTCCTCCCTCCCGCCCCCCACCTTTTTTTTTTAATCAGTCATGGGGCTTGAGCTTCAGACCTGGCTACTGTCCCTGAGCTCTTTGCTTAAGGCTCCACTTCCAGTTTTTCTGGTGGATAATTATTGGTTAAGAGTCTAATGGACTTTCCTGTCCCAGCTGGTTTTCTCCCTTAGATTTTTTTGTTCAAGTCTGACCCACTACTACTTAATCTAAACCATTTCCAACAACCTAATTTTAAAATGAACAAAAGATTCAAGTACCAATAAAGATATGGGAATGACCAGCTGGGCACTGGTGGGCACTGGGCTGGTGGCTACTCCGGAGGCTGAGATTTGAGGATCAAAGTTAGCCAGGACAGGAAAGTCCTTGAGACTCTTATCTCCAATCAACCACCAGAAAACTAGAAGTCGAGCTGTGGCTCAAAATGGTAGAGTGCTGGCTTTGAGCAAAAAGCTCAGGGACAGTGCCCAGGCCCTGAGTTCAAGCCTCATGAATGACAAAAAAATTATATATATATATATATATATTTGGAATTTGTTGGAATTCAAAATCAGATATTTCCTCTTGAGGGACTTTACAGTCTTTGTTACACCTTTAGAAACTTGCCTACCCTGATTGCTGCAATGCTTCAGGCTTTTTACTGGTAACTTCTCTACAAATTTGTTTTCACTTTTACTTCCTCAAATTTATTTTGTCAGTGCTTCCCAGAAAAGAGGAAAGACAGTGTGGGTACTTTAGTCCACATTCTCCTCCTGTTTGCCTGGGACGCTGATAAAGTTCAAGGTAAGTCAGTGCCTATCCCTGGCATACTTGACTCTTGCTTCTCTTTGGAGGCAGGGGAATAAGGATAGACGGTGTTGCAGAGGCAGGTTTAATTCCTAGCAGGTGCTAGTGGCTCACACCTCTAATCCTGGCAACTCAGGAGGCTGAAATCTGAGGATCTGTCCCAGTTCCAAGCCAGCTGGGGCAGAACAGTCTGTGATACTCTTAACTCCAACAAATCAACGAAGTGGAGCCTGTGGTTCAAGTGGTAGAGTGCTAGCCTTGAGCAAAAAAGAAGTTTAGAGATAGTGCCTAGGCCCTGAATTCAAGCCCTGGGACTGGGACAAGAATATAAGTAACGAGAGAGGGAGGGAAAGAAGGCAGGAAGGAAAGAAGGACAAACCCAAGTTTTCTTTCTTTCTTTTTTTTTTTTTTTTTGTCAGTAACGGGGCTTGAACTCTGGGCCTGGGCGCTGTCCCTCAGCTCTTCAGCTCAAGGCAAGCGCTCTACCACTTGAGCTACAGCGCCACTTCCAGTTTTTTTCTAGTGGTTTATTGAAGATAGGAGTCTCACGGTCTTTGCTGCCCGGGCTGGCTTTGAACCTCGATTCTCAAATCTCAGCCTCCTGAATAGCTAGGATTACAGGCGTGAGCCACCAGCGCCCGGCAGTTTTCTTTCTTTATCAGATGAAAGAAAGAGAAAATCCAGGTCTTCCTTCCACTTCTACCATCATCATAAACAGTGAAAACATGCTCTTTATAATAAAAATCCCCAATAACTTTCCTTTTCCCTATTTCTTTACAAGATGGCCAGTGCAGAGGAGGCACCTGAGGAGAAGACTTCCCAGCATGAATATGGCTTGCTTTCAGCACTGTCTGGCTTTCTGGGCACAGATCTAGTTCAGCTTAGAAAGGAAGTAGATGAAGAGCAGCACAGAGCCCGCAAAGAGGTTAAGAAAGGTTTTAATGCACACATGCGCAACGAAGAAAAGCGGTTGAAGACTTTTATGACCTATAACTTGGACAGTTGCTGGACACCCCAGGAGATGGCAGCTGCTGGCTTTTACTTTACTGGAATAAAATCAGAGATTCAGTGCTTCTGCTGTAGCTTAATCCTCTTTGACACCAAACTCTGGAAACTTCCCTTAGGAGAGCACAAGAAATTTCATCCAGATTGTGAGTTCCTTTTGGGCAAAGACGTTGGCAACATATCCAAGTATGATGTAAGAGTGAAGAGCCCAGCCTGTGAGCTGAAAGGGGACAAAGCTAAGTACCAAGAAGAGGAGGCCAGACTGGAATCCTTCCAGACCTGGCCGTTTTATGTGCAGGGGATACCCCCTCAGGAACTCTCTGCGGCTGGCTTTGCTTTCACAGGTACCTTGAAACTCTTTTCTGAATGATTTCTCTGCTATACTAAGTTTAGATAGCATAGTTTGGTTGCTTTTTATAGTATTTTTGTGATTTGTCTCTCATTTGTCAATTTTGTTCCATTAGATATCATTTATCTTATTAAAATTCAACTTAAGTAATTTTACTTTTGTTTTAATCTGTGTGTGTGTGTGTGTGTGTGTGTGTGTGTGTGTGTGTGTGTGTGTGTGTGTGTGTGTGTGTGTGTGTGTGTGTGTGTGTGTTGAATATGTCAGTACGAGGGCTTTGAACTTAGGGCCTGGGCACCATCCCCTAGCTTTTTCACTTAAGGCTTAGTGCTTTAGTAATTGAACCATAGCTTTACTTAAGCTTTTTGATAGTTAATTGGAAATAAGAGTCTCACATACTTTTCTGCCCGGGTTGGCTTCGAACTGTGATCCTCATATCTCAGCTTCTTGAGTAGTCAGGATTACAGGTGTTAACCACTGGCACCTAGTCTTTAATTTGTCTTAGGAACAGCATGTATAATTCCAACTACATAGATTTTAAGGTTATCTGTCCTTAAGTTTGGAAAATTCTATCTGTAGCCAGGTACGGTGGTACATGGCTCTAATCCTGGCTGTGAGGGAGGCAAAGGTAGGACAGAGGTACAAGGTGAATCCTGGGCAAACATGCAAGATCCTATTTGGGAAAAAAGAATGAAAGCAGAAGAAGACTGGGAGCATAACTCAAGTGGTAGAGTGGCTGCTTGACAAATGTGATTGGCAAGTATGAGGTGGTCTGACTATCACTTCAGGCAAGTATGGAGTCTCCGGACTGTGTCACTACAGGCAGTCCTGTGTTAGCATGCCATTACTGCTGTCCTGAAAGCTCAGAACATCATGTGACCTCTGGGAAGTCCCTAGAGCAGACATACTGAATGCAGGAGATTAGAGATTTGGAAATGAAGCGGGCCCATGGATGAGGGATGGGGGTCCATGCTCAGAAAGTAGTCATTTGGGGTAGCAGGCCTGTGGGTGAGGACGCCATTACAATGGTTATGAGAGAATACAGGTGTTGGTTGTCCACAAAATAATCACATCACAATGCTTTCTTCCCTGTGTAGGTAAAAGGGACACTGTACAGTGTTTTTCCTGTGGCGGATGCTTAGGAAATTGGGAAGAAGGAGATGACCCTTGGAAGGAGCATGCCAAGTGGTTTCCCAAGTAAGTGGATTTAGGTTTTGTTTGTTTGTTTTTTGTTTTTGTTTTTTGCAGTTTCTTTTTTATTTGCCAGTCCTGGGACTTGAACTTGAGACCTGGCCACTGTCCCTGAGCTTCTTTTACTGAAAGCTAGCATTCTGCTACTTGAGCCACAGCCCCATTTCCAGCTTTTACTGAGTAGTTTGTTGGAGGTAAGAGTGTCACAGACTTTCTTGCCCAGACTGGCTTTGAACTGTGATCCTCTGATCCCAGCCTCCTGAGTAGCTAGGATTACTGGCGTGAGCCACTAGTGGCCCGGCTGTTTTGATATTTTATACTTAAGTCTTTTTTTTTTTCTTTCTGTGAGAGAGAGTCCTGGCGCTTGAACTCCAGGCCTGGGTGCTATCCTTAAGCTTTTTTGCTCAAGACTAGCACTCTACCAGTTGAGCCACAGCTCTACTTCTGACTTTTTTTTGGTGGTTAATTGGAGATAAGAGTCCCACAGATTTTCCTCCAGCATGGCTTTCAACTGCAGTCCTCAGATCTCAGTCTCCTAAGTAGCTAGGATTACAGTAATGGTGAACCACCAGTGCCCCCCTCAGAAGCTCTTTTTTAAAAGCTTCTAGATGAAGCCAGGATTGTCAGCTCATCAACTGTCCCTCTGGCCTCTGAGCCAATCCTAACAGACACCAGACCAGTTCTAAGTGTTCAAAGTATAGCATGTGCTCCTTAGCCCATGGGAGCCAAGCTTTAGGTCCTGGGCTCCTAAAACAGCTCAAATATTATGTCTAGGAGTACTTGTCATTTCATTTCTTAGCCGCTGAACCACAGCCAGCCATACCATTCCCAGATCATCTTGTGAACAGGACCAGCTGAAGTGGTTCTACTGTACTCTCAACACTGAGGTAGAGGTGAGGTGACATTACCATACTCACATAGTCCAGCATCCAGACCCACAGCTCTTTTTAAAAAATTCAGTGTGCTGGCCGCCGGTGGCTCACGCCTGTAATCCTAGCTACTCAGGAGTCTGAGATCTTAGGATCACAGTTCAAAGCCACCAGAAAACTGGAAGTGGTGCTGTGGCTCAAGTGGTAGAGCACTGGTCTTGAGCTGAAGAGTTGAGGGACAGCACCCAGGTCCAGAGTTCAGGCCCCACAATCAACAACAACAAAAAAATTCAATGTGTATAGATTAATATCTAGTACTTTTTTTTTTTTTTTTTGCTGGTCCTGGGGCTTGAACTCAGGACCAAGTGCTGTCCCTGAGCTAAAATTATCCATTCTACCACTTGAACCACAGCTCTACTTTCAGCTTTGTCTGTGATTAATTAGAGATAAGAAACTCACAGACTTTCCTGTCCAAGCTGGCTTTAGCCCAGCCCAGAAGTCAACCTCAAGGACTGGCAAAACAAAACAAAAAAACAAGTACATCAAAACAATGAAAATTCTCCTGTGTAAGTTTTTGGAGTAAGTTTTTCATTTGTTTGTTTGTTTTTGTTGGTTGTAGGGCTTGAACTCAGGGCTTGGGCACTGTCCCTGAGCCTCTCTATGTTCAAGGCTAGTGCTGTACCACTTGAGCCAGAGCGCTACTTCCAGTTTTTGAGTGGTTAATTGAGGATAGGAGTCTCACAAGGACTTTTCTGCCTGGGCTGGCTTTGCACACCGTTCCTCAGATCAGCCTCCTGAGTAGTTACTATTACAGGCGTGAGCCACCAGCAGTCAGCCTGAACATTTTTATTGAAGTATAAAATTTAATACTTTTTTTTTTATGCTAGTCCTGGGGATTGAACTCAGGGCCTAGGCAGTATCCCTGAGCTTCTTTTGCTCAAGGGTAGCACTCTACCACTTGAGCCACAGTGCCACTTCCAGCTTTTTCTTTTTCTTTTTTTTTTTCGGGTCCGGTTGTGGGGCCTGAACTCTGGGCCTGGGCGCTGTCCCTCAGCTCTTCAGCTCAAGGCTAGCGCTCTACCACTTGAGCCACAGTGCCACTTCCAGCTTTTTTTCTTTTTGCTTATGTGGTGCTGAGGAATCAAACCCAGGGCCTCAGGCATGCAAGGCAAGCGCTCTACCACTGAGCCACCTTCCCAGCCCCAGCTTTTTCTTTTTATGTGCTAATGAGGAATCAAACCCAGGCCTTCAAGCATGCTAGGCAAGCACTCTACCACTAAATCACATTCCAAGCCCAAATTAAATACATTTCTGACAAATCTTTATTGTGCTATAGGACATATCTATCACAGTACTGGAGTAAATTTTAATTATATTTTTAATTGTAGATGTGAATTTCTTCAAAGTAAGAAATCTTCCGAGGAAATTGCCCAGTATATTCAAAGCTACAAGGGATTTGTTGACGTAACGGTAATTAATAAACAACAAACTTTTTTCTCAACTTGTTTTTAATGACATATCTGGATCAGCACAGGACAGGACTCTTTTTCTGTCATAGTTTGTTTCTTCCTTTCTCCTTTCATTCCCTTGCCTCTCATCTGAAGGGTGCATAATAAAAATAAAAATGCATTCTCTTTCTAGGCTAGGGAACTAAAAATTTCTTTTTCCATGGCTTTTTTTTTTTTTTTTTTTGGCAGATGGGACAATACTGGGGTTTGAATAAGAACCTTGCACACTTGCTTGATTTTTTTTCATTTACAGCTGGTGCTCTACCACTTGAGCTACTGCTCTACTTTAGCTTCATTGGAGATAAGAGTCTCAGGAACTTTTCTGCCTAGGCTGGCTTTGAACCATGATCCTTACATCTCAGCCTCCTGAATAGCTAGTACACTCAGCCCAAGGCTGAGTTTTGATGGGTTCTGTCTGCCTGCCTTTCTGCTAATCACCTTTGTGAAGGCCTGCATGAGTTGTCTCACTTGGCCCTGCCCCCACAGGGGGCCAGGTGGCTCCTTCCAGCTAGTTGTTGAGACTCCACTAGTAAGGACTTCCTAGTGCAAGTAACAGGAAATACAACCCAAATTGGCTTAAGGAAAGAAGAGAATGGAGCGGTTGGAGGCATGACTCAAGTGGTAGGGTGCCTGCCAATGAGCCTAAAGCATCAGATAGCCAGTTTGAGTTTGTGGGAGGGGAGAGGGGAGAGGGAGAGAGGAGAGCGAGGAGAGAGAGGGGAAAAGGAAAGGGGAGGAAATAGAGAGGAAAAAAAATGGATTGGCTGTGACCCAGAAGGCTTGACCATGTGGAAAAAATGTACTGAAAAAGGAAGGGTGTTTTCTCAGGAGAAATCTAAGCGCAGTCACCCCAGGTGCCTTCTGAATGTAGTTCCTGCCTATGTTTCTTAGTTTCTCATTGAACTACTTCTATGGAATCGGATACAGATTTTTTTGCACTTAATGTGAAAAAGAGGTGTTAGTGTTTCCTGTTGGGCAGAGGTGTAAACCTTCAGAACAGTTTTGCTCTGTGTTTTTTTTTCCTATTTTTTAAATTTGTTATTATAAAGGTGATGTACAGAGAGTTTACCATTACATAAGTCAGGTAAGGAGTACTTTTTTTTAAGGATTTTAAATTTTTTTTTTAATTTAATTTAATTTGTGAACATACTGTACAGAGGAGTTACAGTTACATGGGCAGGATAATGCGTACATTTCTTACCAAGCATTGCAGCCTCCTCCTTTGTTTACCCTTCACATCCCTTCCCAGAAGGATTTTAAATTTTTATTTTTATTTTTTGTTGGTGGGGCTTGAACTCAAGGCCTGTGTGCTATCCCTGAATGCTACTCAAGGCTAGTGTTCTACCACTTTGAGCTGCAGCTACACTTCTAGATTTCTGGTCATTAATGGGAGAAAAAAGTTTTACAAACTTTCTTTCATAGGTTGGCTTGGAACCACAATCCTCAGATCTCAATCTCAGTACCTAGGATTACAGATGTGAGCCACCAGCACCAGCCTGAGTGCACATTAATTTATTTATTTGTTTGTTTGTTTATTGGTCATGTGGCTTGAACTTTGGGCCTGGATGCTGTCCCTGAGCTTTTCTGTGCTCTACCACTTTGAGCCACTGTGTCACTTCTGGCTTTCTAGAGTCTAATTGGAGATAAGTGTCTAATGGACTTTCCTGCCCAGGATGGCTTTGAACCTCAATCCTCATATCTCAGCCTTCTGAGAAGCTAGGATTACAGAATTACAGGTGTCAGCCACCAGTGCCCAGTGAGAGTACATTTCTTTTTTCTTTTTTTTTTTTTTAGGTCCGGTCGTGGGGCCTGAACTCTGGGCCTGGGCGCTGTCCCTCAGCTCTTCAGCTCAAGGCTAGCACTCTACCACTTGAACCACAGCACCACTTCCGGCTTTTTTTTTTCTGCTGATGTGGTGCTGAGGAATCGAACCCAGGGCCTCAAGCATGCAAGGCGAGCGCTCTACCACTGAGCCACCTTCCCAGCCTGAGAGTACATTTCTTTTGGGACAGTGTCACCCTTTGCTCTGTTTTAAAAACCTTTCCAGAGACAAGGGCTGGTGGCTTACCAGCACCTGTAATCCAAGCTACTCAAGAGGCTGAGATCTGAGAATCAAGGTTGGAAACCAGACAGAGATGACAAATCTGAGAGACTCTTTATCTCCAGTGCACCAACAAAATGCCGGAAATGGAGGTGTGGCTCCAGTGGTAGAGCATGAGGTCCTGATTTCAAGCTCCAGTACTAGCACACATACACACAAGAAAACCTTGCCAACACTAGGAATCAAAATTCAAATGATGCTTCTCTGGCAGCTCTGCCACTGTCTAATGAGGCTCTTCCCTTGGCAGGAAGTCTTGCTCCCAGTTATCCATTTTATATATCAAACCATCTATAACATGGATTTCATTTTCCTCAGGGAGAACATTTTGTGAATTCCTGGATCCAGAGAGAATTACCTATGGCATCAGGTAAAAACTAAGGCATAGACCAGTAGTTTTGCTTTGTTTAGTTCTTCTTATGCTTTTTGTCCCTTTAAACATTCAAAGTTTAGGGGCTAGGAAGGTGGCTCAGTGGTAGAGCGCTTGCCTTGCATGCATAAGGCCCTGGGTTCGATTCCTCAGCACCACATAAGCAAAAAGAAAAAAGCCAGAAGTGGCACTGTGGTTCAAGTGGTAGAGCGCTACCCTTGAGCTGTAGAGCTGAGAGACAGCGCCCAGGCCCAGAGTTCAGGCCCCATGACCAGACCCAAAATAAATAAATAAATAAATAAAATAAACATTCAATGTTTAATTCCTTTGTGGGAATAGAAAGGTTGCATTCAGATTAGTCAGTCGTTTTTTAAAGACATCTCCCCTTTCTTTCCATTGTGCTCAGCAGTAATTAGATTTTATATTTCACAGCATGATCAACTATGCTCTGAGAGTTACAGCAAACCACAGTAGACTTTTGCCAAGATGATAGAAGCCCAGAGATGGTTTGTTGCTCCAGGACCTGGTCTTGAAATCAGAGCCCAGCTAGCGCCGGTGGCTCACGCCTATAATCCTAGTTACTGAGGAGGCTGAGGATCGAGGTTCAAAGCCAGCCCAGGCAGGAAAGAACTCTTATCTCCAATAAACCACCAGATAACCGGAAGTGCCACTGTAGCTCAAATGGTAGAGCGCTAGCCTTGAGCTGAGGGACAGTGCTCAGGCCCAGAATTCAAGCCCCACAACCGACCAAAAAAATAAATAAAATAAAATAAAAATGAAATCAGAGCCCAGCTGTGTAGCTGACACTCTACCACTTGAGACACACCACCAGTCCAGCATTTTTCTGATTAATTGGAGATAAAAGCTCTCAGACTTCTCTGCCCTGGATGACAATGGAGTATGTACTTATAATCACCGTTATATCAAACTCATTTGTTGAAATGGAGTCTCACTAACTTTTTGCCCATGCTGGCCATGAACCAGAGGTCTTCCTGAACTCTGCTTCCTGATTAGCTGGGATTTCAGGTGAGACACTCCGTGCCCAGCTTGAAAACATTCTTAAATGGCTCAATGTGCTGTTAAGGAATTAAATAATATAAATTTCAAAATTGAATAGCCAGGTACTAGTGGCTCATAGCTGTAATCCTAGCTAATATTGGAATCTGAGAATCTCAGTTTGAAGCCAGCCTGGATAGGCAATCTGAGACACTTTTATCTCCAGTTAACCACCAAAAAGCTGTAAGTGAGCTGTGGTTTAAGTAGTAGAGCACCAGCCTTGAAAAAAAAGTCTAAGGGACAGCACTCAGGTCCTGGGTTTAAGCCTCTATAATAGCACAAAAATAAAGTAGTCGCAAGAAATCTAGGGTTAGTACCAAGTAAGGTAGCACACACTGGTGACCCTAGCACTTAGGAATCACAAGTAAGAGGACTGAGTGTTCAAGGTCAGTCTGAGCTCCGTAAGCTTTTTCTTTTCTTTTCTTTTTTTGTCATGGTGCTTGAACTCTGGGCCTGGGCCCTGCCCTTCAGCTGTTCAGCTCAAGGCAAATGCTCTGCCACTTGAGCCACAGCACCACTTCTGGTTTTCTGGTGGTTTATTGGAGATAAGAGTCTCACAGACTTTCCTGCTTGGGCTGGCTTTGAACTGTGATCCTCAGATCCCAGTCTCCTGAGTAGCTAGGATTACAGGCGTGAGCCACCGGAGAACTGTTTTGTTTTTGTTTTTTCTGTTGTCAGGATTTGGACTTCACACTTGCTTGACTTAAACAAGCAAGCAAACAAAATACTGGATGGGCATGGTTGTACATTTCTGTAATCCTAGCTACTTGGGAAGTACAGGCAGGAGAATTCAGAGGTCAAGACCAGTATGGGCAAAGTTAGCAACACTGTCTCAAAAACAAAATATGAACAAAAGATGCCAAATATAGGCCGCTCGGGGTCGCAGTATCAGCTCCCGATACTGTGGCCCAGGCCAGTCAGTGTAGGAACCTTCTCAATAAAGTTGCTTCTTTGTTAACAACAATAATGAAAAAAAGATGCCAAATATATTGGCTCAAGCCTGTAATCTTAGCTAATTGGAAGGCAGATATCAGGGGATTGTAGTTAAGGTCACCCTGGGCATAAGAGTTCATGAAAATTCGTTGACATGATTGACATGTCTGTCAATGGATGAAAGACTTGGTATTATGGAGCAACATGTGATCAACCTTACTTCATCTAAACTCCTGCCTGTTTTTTTTTTTGCCCAGTCCTGGGGCTTGAACTCAGGGCCTAGGCACTGTCCTTGAGCTTCTTTTTGTTCAAGGCTAGAACTGTACCTCTTGAGCCAAGGTACTGCTTCTAGCTTCTTCTGTGTATGTGGTACTGAGGAATCAAACCTAGGAGCTTCATGCATGTTAGGCAATCACTCTACCACTAAGCCACATTCCCAGTCCATTCCTGTCTGGTCTTCTAACCACCCCGATTTTTTTTTGAAGCATACAAATTCCATCTGTAAATAGGGAGCTATAACTTGAACTTGGCAGTATCAAAGCTTGCTGACCTCACTCTATACTTTTTATTCAAGCTTACAACAGTGACAGTGTCTTCGCTAATGAAGAACTACGCCTAGACACTTTTAAGAACTGGCCTCACAAATTCTCTTCGAAAGTTTCACTTCTGGCCAAAGCAGGTCTCATCTTCACAGGTGAGTCAGTAGGGAGTACCTCTTCCTTTGCTTCACCAGCTAAACCTCATATGACGTTATGGTCCTGAGCTTACATAAGTCTACACACAACCTTCGTTCATAGGTTTGTTTGTTTTTTTTAATTTTTTTATTGCTCCATAAATCACCTTCTAGATTTTTTCATTCCTCTCTTAGGTGGTCAGTCTTTGAACTTGAAGCCTTGAGGCCCAGATGAACAATGACTACAAGTACTCTGGAATGATTCTCATTTCCTTTCCTTTCCCCATATTTCTTTCCCTGCTTCCTACACCACTAGACAATAAGAAACTGTCTCAGGATGCTGCCCCCACCTCTCATTCCCTACTTTTCTCTTGATTACATATCTTAACTGGATCATAGTCAGATGGCCACGACTATCTCTACAGGAGCTGGGAAAGCGAACATTCTTCCAGGGAGGCAATGTGCCCTGCTAAGAATTGGGGTTTCAAGATGGGTGCCAGTGGCTCATGACTGTAATCCTAGATATTCAGGAGGCTGAGATCTGAGGATTGAGGTTCAAAGCCGGCCCGGGCAGGGAAGGCTATGAGACTCGTATCTCCAGTTAACCACCAGAAAACCAGAACTGGCACTGTGGCTCAAGCGGTACAGAACTCACCTTGAGCTGAAGAGCTGAAGGACAGTGCCCAGGCCCAGAGTTTAAGCTCCATGCCCCCCCCAAAAAAAGAATTGGGGTTTGTCTATGGAGAAATTGGAAAAGGTGGGATGTGGCTAGGTGCTGGTGGCATGCCTGTAATCGTAGCCACACAGTAGGCTGAAATCTCAGAATCCGGGTTCAAAGCTAGGCCTCACAAGGAAGTATGTGAGACTCTTCTTCCATTAACTACAAAAAAATGCTGAAAATAGAGGTCTGGCTCAAATGGTAGAGTGTCAGCCTTCAGTGGAAAAAAACAAGTGACAGTATGTAGGCCTTGAATTCTAGCCCTGATATTAGAGAGAGAGAAAAAAAAGTGGGATAAGGAGATCAACCTCTGATACTCTGCTAAAAGGGAAAAAAAAATCTCAGGAGACTTATTCACACCATAAACATGTAAAAGTGTTGTCTTCTCTCGAGTGAAGTCACCAGGGAGGTATGTTCTGCACTATGTAACCTACAAAGCTGATTCCCACACAGCTCAGTCTGTACCAGAGAATGAAAGGCATGGAGAGAGGATTCCACACTCCTTCCTTGCTCCTCTTCCTCACACCAAATGCACTGGAAGTTACAGAGGAGTTGCATGTAGCTCTTTAACTGAGTGATTCTGCAGGTCTCACAAATATATTAGAGCAGTTCAGGAAAGGGAGTGTCATTGTTAATCTGCCTAACAAACATAGTCCATTGGCACAACAAGCCTTAGTACCTTACCACCATAAGCCTTTGAGAAGAGAGCATTCTGCCCTCTCTCCCTACTTGTTATTGTGTTCTCTTACCAGCCTTCCCCAAGGCCTCTCTCCAAAGTGCTCACTTACTCCTTCTCAAATACTCCATCCCTCCTCAAGGGCCTTCTCATCCTGCATGCTTTGGAAGTCAGATTTTTGGCTCAGTGTGAAGGATCCTTTCCTCTGCCCCAGCTTAGCCATGTTTATCAGGATCTCAGAGAGCAAGGAAAATGATGAACCTATTATTTCCAGTTTGAATCGCAGGCACAACCTCATACTCATTTCCTTCTAAAGAAATACAGGCTCACCAGGTGCTGGTGTCTTATGCCTATGATGCCAGCTACTCAGAAGACTGAGATCCTAGGATCAAAGCCAGCCCAGGGAGCAAAGTCCCTGACACTCTTATCTCCAATTAGTTACCAAAAAGCCAGAAGCAGATCTGTGGCTCAAGTGGTAGACTACAAATTTTAAACAACAACAACAAAAATGCTGAGAGACAGTATCCAGGCTCAAGAAGATCATCCAAGTATACAATATGAAGTGCAGGGAGAAGAAAGAGTACCCAGTGTCTACTGATTCCATTGCTCACCTTTCACTGGTAGACTACGTCATGTGGGCCTCCCTAGTAACCGGTCAGCTTACACTTTGAAACAAATGCAATTGAAAATGCAAATAGGGTGCCACTAACAAAGGTCTGGGAGTTATCATCTACTTGTCAGGAGATGAATGTATGTGTTATTGACACAAATCAAATTTCCTTCTTTCTAGAAATTAAGGACATTGTGCATTGCTTTTCCTGTGGCTTGTGTATGGAGAAATGGAAAGAAGATGATGACCCATTGAAAGATCATATCAAATATTCTCCCAGGTGAGTACGATTTTGAATGCACTCAAATGACTTATCCATTCTGTGGAAGACATCTTTACCTCCTCTGATTCAGACTGAAGAACTTGTCTGTATGTATTTCACCTTCTTATTCTCACAACAGCCTTCCTGTCTAACTGTTCTCTAATTATCATTGAATCTTGGTTTTGGTTCTAGGTCAGTATTTTTTTTTTTTTTGGGTCCGGTCGTGGGGCCTGAACTCTGGGCCTGGGCGCTGACCCTCAGCTCTTCAGCTCAAGGCTAGCGCTCTACCACTTGAGCCACAGCGCCACTTCCAGTTTTTTTCTTTTTTGCTTATGTGGTGCTGAGGAACCGAACCCAGGGCCTCATGCATGCAAGGCAAGTGCTCTACCACTGAGCCACCTTCCCAGCCCTAGGTCAGTATTCTTACATTACATGTTTACATGATCATAACTACATAAATGCTATATTGACAGAAGCTTGTAGTATGTTCAGACTCATTTGTCCCTTTCTGTACATCTTTTTAGTTTTGTACAAGTAATTGTCTTGTTAGTTTGTGTATTTTTTTTGTTGTTTAAGTAAAATGCACTCATGAACCTTTATTTTATTTTTTGTCAGTCATGGGACTTGAACTCTGGGTCTGGGAGCTGACTCTGAGCTTTTTTTTTTGTTTGTTTGTTTTTGGGGGGTCCGGTCATGGGGCCTGAACTCTGGGCCTGGGCGCTGTCCCTCAGCTCTTCAGCTCAAGGCTAGCACTCTACCACTTGAGCCACAGTGCCACTTCTGGCTTTTTCCTTTTTGCTTATGTGGTGCTGAGGAATCGAACCCAGGGCCTCTGGCATGCAAGGCATGCGCTCTATCACTGAGCCACCTTCCCAGCCCACTCTGAGCTTTTTTGCTCAAGGCTAGTGCTCTAACCACTTTGAGCCACAGTTCTACTTCCGGTTTTTAAGTGGTTAATTGGAGATAAGAGTTTCATAGACTTTTCTGCCTGGGCTGACTTTGAACCTTGATCCTTAGACCTCAGCCTCCTGAGTAGTTAGACTGATAGGCATGAGCCACCAGTGCCCAATGTCCATGAACCATTTTATTTGTTTGTTTATTGCTTATACCACGGTTTGAACTGAGGGTCTCGTGTTCTCCCTCAGCATGGTTGTTTGCAGTAGATGCTTCACCACTGGAGCCACACTTTCAGTCAGATTTTTGCTGGTTAATTAGAGATCAAGTCCAACAGAATTTTCTTCCCAGACTGGTTTTGAACCTGTATCCTCTAGAGCTCAGCCTACTGAGTAGCTAGGATTATAGGCATAAGCCACCAGTGTCTGGCTTCTCATACAAACCACGTGAAGATAGAACTCTATGATATTTAGTACATTCCAATGTTGTACAACCATCCCTCCAAATGGAACAGTTTCACCACTCCCCAAAAAAACTCTATATCCATTAAGCAATTACTTATCTTCCAAGACACTAGGGCTCTGTGTCTATAGGTTTACCTATATTGGATATTTCATGTAAACAGAAACAAGCAATATGACCTTTTGTGTCTGGCTTCTTTCACTTTGCAGATTGTTTTGGAGATTACAGTGTGAAGCAAGTATCAGTAATTCATCCCTTTCTGTGATCAAATAATATTTCATATAGAATATACTACCCTTTATTCCTCCATTCATGGTTCATGCACATTTGAGTTGATTCCTACTTTTGGATTTGTGACTCGTGCTGTCATAAACATTTGTGTGCTAACATCTGTTGGGGTTCCTGTATTCAGTGCCTTTGGGTATGCAGGAATGGAATGGGCAAACTATATGGTAATTTTTTTAATTTTATTTTTTTATTATATATATAATTTTTAAATTAATTTTTTTTTTAATTTTATTTTATTTTATTTGAGAACATACTGTACAGAGGGGTTACAATTACATGGTCAGGATAATGCATACATTTCTTACCAAGCATTGCAGCCTCCTCCTTTGTTTACCCTTCACCTCCCTTCCCAGCCTCCCCCCTCCCCCCCCACCCAATCATACCCCCCCTCCCCCCCCCCTCCGACATTGTAAAGCTGGTTTTGACATGACATTTTGTACTTCTCATTGTTGCAACAGGTCCACCTGAATCCTTAAACGACTTGTTTGTCCCCGTCTCCTCCACAAGTTATACTGACATCAAATATAGTGAAAGCGGGGGTTACACTGTGGGGGAGGGACATACAAAGCAACCAAGAAATAATCTTATAATTTTTAAATTTTATTCGGTCGTGGGGCCTGAACTCTGGGCCTGGCGCTGTCCCTCAGCTCTTCAACTCAAGGCTAGCGCTCTACCACTTGAACCACAACACCACTTCCAGCTTTTTCTGCTTATGTGGTACTGAGGAATCGAACCCAGGGCCTCATGCATGGGAGGCAAGCACTCTACCACTGAGCCAGCTTCCCAGCCCTATATGGAAATTTTATATTTGACTTTTAGCCAAACTGTTTTGTACCATCTTAAGTTCCCACCAACATCATGAAGGTTCCACCTTCTCTAAAACTTTATTTTCTGGGTTTTTTTTCTAAATTACAGTATAGCCATCTATTTAGTTTTTTTGTGTACTTAATACTAGTCCCTCAAATGTTCCCAGGTGTTTCTAACTCCTCTCATCATTCAGACTTTGATATTTGATACATTTTCATTTTCTGTCCTTGAGCTTTTTGCTCAATGCTAGCACTCTATCACTTTGATCCACAGCTCTATTTCTAGTTTTCTGGTGGTTCATTGGAGATAAGAGTCTCACAGACTTTCCTGCCTTGGCTGGGTTTGAACCATGATCCTCATATCTTAGCCTCCTGTCTAGTTAGGATTACATGCATGAGCCACAAGCTCCTATCCTAAATAATACTTTTTTTTTTGTCGGTCCTAGGGGCTGAACTCTGGGCCTGGGTGCTGTTCCTCAGCTCTTCAGCTCAAGGCTAGCCCTCTACCACTTGAGCCACAGCGCCACTTCTGGCTTTTCTCTGCTTATGTGGTGTGGAGGAATCGAACCCAGGGCCTCATGCATGCAAGGCAAGCACTCTACCACTGAGCCAACTTCCCAGCCCTAAATAAGACTTTTAACAATGTCTTCTGTAAGCCAGGTGCCGGTGGCTCACACTGGTAATCCTGGCTACTCAGAGGCTGAAATCTGAGGCTCATGGTTCAAAGCCAGCCCAGGCAGGAAAGGCCGTGAGACTCTTATCTCCATTTAACCACCAGAAAACCAGAAGTGGCACTGTGGCTCAAGTAGTAGAGCACTAGCCTTGAGCTGAAGAGCTCAGGGACAGCACTCAGGCCCAGAGTTCAAGCCCCACAACTGACCCCCCCCCCAAAAAAAATGTGTAATGAGTGGTTAGTGTGTATGTATGTATAATTTTATTTATATTAAGGACTTTAGAAGAAAATACTTGATTTGAAGATCTGTAACAGCTTGCTTCAATGTGAATCAGATAACAGTTTTGGGGCTAGTTAAGGCAGTACTTTTTCATAATTTGTAACTAATCCTCTGAAGTTTGTACAGTATACAATAGTATCCTGAATGACTGAACGAGGAATAAAATCATGTGCTTAGATCATGTGTTAGACACTGTCTCTGAATTTCTTTTGATCAAGGCTAGCACTCTATCACTTGAAACACCACTCTGCTTTTGGCTTTTTTGATTGTTAAATGGAGATAAGAATATCACAGACTTCCCTGTCTCAGTTCCTGAGCCACTGTTACACAGTTGATTTTTTTCAATTTTGTAATGAAAATTTGCCTTAATATTTTTTCCAATACTGGAGTTTGAACTCAGGAGGGCCATGTGCTTGCCAGGCAGGTACTCTAGCACTTGAGCCATGCCACTAGCCTTTTTGTTTTTATTATTTTTCAGATAGAATCCTGCATTTATGTCTAGTCTAGTCTAGTCTAGACTGTGATCTTCCTATGTATACTTCCCATATATACGCTACCACTAGCACCTGGCAACTTTTAATCATTTTATGTTAATTTCAGTTGGTTTTCAACATGGTTAAACATACACTTGTCCCAACCAGTTCCCTCACTTTTACTTTTCAAACAATGCACATGTCAATGGCTGAGAGTCCTTTTGGCAGATGATACTGATACTGACTGAAAGTGTTTATTTTACACTTAATTCTTATCACTGACACTCTAGCAGTGTTTTTCTTTTTCTTTTTTTTTCTTTTATTTTTTGTCAGTTGTGGGGCTTGAACTCTGGGCCTGGGTGCTGTCCCTGAGCTCTTCAGCTCCAGGCAAGTGCTCTATCACTTGAGCCATAGTGCCACTTAGGGGTTTCTGGTAGTTTATTGGAGGTAAGAGTCTCATGGACTTTCTTGCCCAGGCTGGCTTTGCACTGCAGTCCTCAGATCTCAGCCTCTTCAGTAGCTAAGATTACAACTGTGAGCCACCGGTGCCCGGCATCTAGCAGTGTTTTTCAAAACCTAGCACAAATGCTTAATTGCATATAACTATTGTATTATAACTTTTAACTTTTATTCCTAGTTGTCTATTTCTCCAAAATATGAAATCTTCTGCAGAAGAGATGCCAGACCCTCAGAGTCAGCGTGAACATTCTAAAGTCTTGGTAATCAACCCAGCCACTGTTTCTGTTCTAGCAATCCATGGTCATGTGATTGGAAACTGTTTCAAACAAAAATCAGGCCTGCCAGGCACCTGTGAATCACAACTGTAATCCTAGCTATTCAGGATGCTGAGATCTGAAGATTGTGGTTTGAAGACATTTCAGGCAGGAAAGTTGATGCGATTCTTTTTTTTTTTTTTGCCAGTCCTAGGGCTTGAACTATGGGCCTGGGCATTGTCCCTGAGCTTCTCTTGCCTAAGGTTAGCCCTCTACCACTTGAGCCACAGCACCACTTCCAGGTTTTTCTGTTTATGTGGTACTGAGGAATTGAACCTAGGGCTTCATACATGCTAGGCAAGCACTCTACCACTGAACCATCTTCCCAGCCCTGATTCTCTCTCTCTTTTTTTTGGAGGGGGGGTTGGTTATGGGGCTTGAACTCTGGGCCTGGGTGCTGTCCCCAAGCTCTTCAGATCAAGGCTAGTGCTCTATCACTTGAGCCACAGTGCCACTTCCAATTTTCTGGAGGTTAATTGGAGATAACAGGCTCGGCTCATGGACTTTCCTGCCCAGGCTGGCTTTGAACCATGAACCTCAGATATAGGCTCCTGAGTAGCTAGGATTACAGGCGTCAGTCACTGGTGTCTGGCTCTGAACAATTCTTATCTCCAATAAACTACAAAAACAAGCAAACAAAACAACTAGTATTCAAGTGGTAGAGTGCTAGCCTTGAACAAAAGGAAGCTTTGAGACAGTGCCCAGGCCCTGAGTTCAAGCCCCAGAACTGGCAAAAAAATAAAATTTAAAAAAAAATCAGGCCTTATATGTAAGTAAGCCAATAAATTATATTAATAATTACCTATCATGCTAGGTATGGATGGGAACTCAGCTACAGAACAAGATGATACAAGACTTTAACACCAGGAATTGTGTAGTCATTCCCTTTATGTAGAGTTAATGGGTCCCATCTGCAAGCTTCATTTGAAGTTGGGGACACATGAGTTTGTTCTTGGTCTTTTTCAGATATGGGAGATCTTTTTCTTTCTTTCTTTCTTTTTGTTGGTCATGGGGCTTGAACTCTGGGTCTAGGTGCTGTCCCCGTGCTCTTCAGCTCATGGCAAGCCCTTTACCACTTGAGCCACAGCACCACTTCCCGTTTTCTGGTGGTTAATTGGAGATCAGAGTGTCACAGACTTTCCTGCCCAGGTGACTTTGAACCATGATCCTCATATCTCAGCCTCCTGAGTAGCCAGGATTAAAGGCATGATCTACCAGCACCTGGCAGATCTTTTCTTTAACAAACACAACTTCTGTTAATACCATAAGCCCAGGGAAAAAGTTGACTCCTTTAAAATGAGAAATCCTTTGTCATTCTCTGGGGTACGAATGAGCCAACTATCCTTTTAGATTATAAGGTTGGCATGTTATCTTTATATTTCCACAAAATGAAAGCAGGGCAACTTTTTCTTCTTTTTTTTCTCTTTTTTTTACTTATTATTATTATCATTATTATTATTATTGTCGGTCTGGGGCTTGAACTCTGTGCCTGGGTGCTGTCCTTCAGCTCTTCAGCTCAAGGCTAGCACTCTACCACTTGAGCCACAGCACCACTTCCGGCTTTTTCAGTTTATGTGGTACTGAGGAATCAAACCTAGGGCCTCATGCATGTGGGGCAAGCACTCTACTACTGAGCCACCTTCCCAGCCCCTACTTATTTATTTCATTTTTTGTCGGTTGTGGGCCTTGAACTCTGGGCCTGAGCGCTGTCCCTCAACTCTTCAGCTAAAGGCTCTCTGTCACTTTTTTTTTTTTTTTTTTTTTTTGCTGCTCCAGGGGCTTGAATTCTGGGTCTGGGAGCTGTCCCCGAGCCTCTTTGTGCTCAAAGCTAGCACTCTACCACTTGAGCCACAGTGCCACTTCTGGCTTTTTCTGAGTAGTTTATTGGAGATTAGAGTTTAATGGACTTTTCTGCCCTGCTGGCTTTGATGCAATCCTTAGATCTTAGCCTTCTGAGTAGCTAGGATTATAGGCATGAGCCATCTATCTGTACCCAGTTTCTGACACAAATTTTGATTTTAAAAAAGATCCTAATTTTATTCAAAGGAAACCACAAAAGCAAGCAAGGAAGTTTCAGCAGCAGTTCATTCTAGAGTGCCAGGTAAGATCTTCAAAGCACCGTTGGCTGCTGTGTGTGTATGTGTGTGTGTGTGTGTGTGTGTGTGTGTGTGTGTGTGTGTGTTGGTCCTGGGGCTTGAACTCAGGTGCTGTCCCCTGAGTTTCATTTGCTCAAGGCTAGTGCTATATCACTTGAGCAACAGGTCTACTTCTGGCTTTTTGTTTTTAGGTATTGAAAATAAGCATCTTAAAGGCTTTCCTTCCTGGGCTGGATTGGAACTTTGATCCTTAGATCTCAGCCTCCTGAGTAGCTAGGATTACAGATGTGAGCCACTGGTGCCCAGCAGTACATGAGATTATATGTCTGTGTAAATACATTTGTATGTAGGAGTTGGAAAAGGAAGGATATTCATAATTGTCCAAAGAGTTCCAGAGAAGTGCAGCACTGAATTGTAGATGGTATAGAAGAGAAAGCCAGAGTTCCTAGGATATCTCCAGGCTTAGCTCAGGGCTGAACCCACTGTAGTCCACAAGTCTCAGGTCTAAACAAGCCAGGAATTAAAGACACCATGCACTCAGCTTCTTCTAGGAGATTTGTCAGTAGAAAAGGAAAGGATTTAGTAATTTTCCTGATGATCAACACACATTCCGTCTAGGTCCCCGTGGGCAGCAGGAGACTTGGGTATGATTTTGCTGAGAGAGCTAAGAGAAGGTCCCAAACTGGAGGTCTCAGATGGTGCAGAAGGTCCTGCAGAATCGTGCAGCGACAAGACCGAGAGAGACATGAGTGTGAATCCAGCTGTGCTTCTTCTCTTTCTCTGTCCGCAGAGGAAGCGCCAAGGGAAATGCAATGGTTGCAGAAGGCAAAGAGACTGAGTGAACAACTGAGGGCAGCCTACATCAAAGCTAGTTTCCGCCACATGTCTTTGCTTGGGATTTCTCCCAATCAACCCACTGACAGATTGCTGGGATGTGATCTGTCCATTGTTTCTAAGCTTATCAGCAGCCCAGCCCAAGAAGCCCTGATGATGCCCGAGGTCTTGGCCAACCTAAACTCCATCATGTGTGTGGAGGGAGAAGTAGGGAGCGGGAAGACAGTCTTCCTGAAGAAAATTGCTTTTCTCTGGGCATCAGGATGCTGTCCGCTGCTGAACAGGTTCCAGCTGGTCTTCTTCCTCTCCCTCCGTCCTACTGGACAGGACAGGGGGCTGGCCAACATCATTCATGACCAACTCCTAGACAAAGAAGATGCTCTTACTGAAGAGTGCCTAAGGAACATCATCCAGCAGTTCAAGAACCAGGTGTTATTTCTTCTGGATGACTACAGTGAAATGTACTCAATCCCACAGGCCATACAGAAGATGATTCTCAGAAACCACACATCACGGACCTGCTTACTGATCGCGACCCATAGAAACAGAACCCGGGACATCCGCCAATACCTCCATACAGTTCTTGACATTCAAGATTTTCCCTTCTATAACACTGTGTATATATTACGGACACTCTGCCCATATAATTTTATTCGTCTGCTAAAGTTTTATGTTTACTTTGAAAAAAACCAAGATGTACAGGGAATTCAGAAGACGCCACTGTTCGTGGCAGCCATCTGGGCTAATTGGTCTCAGTACCCTTTACACCTGTTTTTTGATGATGTGGCAGTTTTCAAGTCCTATATGGAACATCTTTCCTCGAGGGACCAAACAAACAATGAATCTCTCAAAGCAACAGTGTCCTTCTGTGGTCAGCTAGCCTTGAAAGGGCTTTTTGCATCTCGCTTTGAGTTTGATGTTGATGACCTCATGGAAGCAGGACTGGATGAAGATGGAAGTCTAACCACGTGTTTCATGAGCAAGTTCACTGCCCAGAGATTAAGACCAGTCTATCGGTTTTTAAATCCTGCTTTCCAAGAATTTCTTGCCGGGATGAAGCTGATTGAACTCCTGGATTCAGATAGGCAGGAAGAGCAAGAGTTGGGAGTTTATTATTTGAAAGAAATTAATTCCTCCTTGAAGGCTGTATTCCTCTATAAGAAGTTTTTGATTTATGTCTCTAGCCAGCCTTCAACTAAGGTGGGACCAAAATTGGTATCTCATTTGCTTCAGTTGGTGGATCATAACGAGTCATTGGAGAGTGTATCTGAAAAAGATGAGTACCTGCAAATCCAGCTGGAAAGTTCACCATGCATGCAGTTAATGTGGGATATGTGGAAAATCTATCCAGAGACTTTCTTTGCATATGCTTCATTGCGATTACTGGATCTTGCTTTAAAAGTCGCTTGTCAAAGCAGCACGATGGCTACATGTTCTCCATTTTTCCTGCAGTTCTTTCAAGGAAGGACACTGGGTTTGGAAGAACTTGCATCAGAGTACTTCTTTGACTATCCAGAAAGCCTGTTAGTATTGAAGAGCATCAAAGTCACCCTAAATGGGAAGGAGCCACCACCCTGGCTATGTTTGCCAGACTTGGAAAGATGTTACGACAAATCACAGATACCAGCCGTAGATGCAGACTATGCGGCTGCCTTTGAATCTATGAAGGAATGGGAGCAAAATATTGCTGAGAAAAAAGAGACCATACACAAGCATCTGAGTAGGAGACTCACTAAGGCTCCCAGGCTCTGTGGAGGCTATTGGAAACTGTCTCCCCCACCCCACAAGATCCCTCTCCTGGAAGTCCATGTGAGCAATATGGATGCTGCCGACCAGGAAACGCTCAGAGTTCTCATGACTGCTTTCTCAGTTTCTCAACGCATTGAACTTCATTTAACAAACAGCACCAGCTTCCTGGAAAGCATCCGCCCAGCCCTTGAGCAGCACAGAGCCTCTGTCACCAGGTTTTCCATAGACTGCTTTGAGCTCAGTGCAGCAGAGCAAGAGCTGCTTCTCAGCCTGCCTTTCTTGGAGTCTCTGGATATCTCAGAGACGGTCCAGCTGCAAGGTATACTTGAATATATTTTGGATAACTTTTTTTTTGTATGTGGTACTAGGGTTTAAACTCAGGCCTTGTGCTTGCTAGGTAATTGGTCTACTGCTTGAGCCATGTCCCTGAAATGTTCTCAAGGCTCCTTGTATTATAGCATGACCTATCACAGCTGATTTTTTTTTTTTTTGGTTGATTGTGGGACTTGAACTCTGGGCCTGGGCACTGTCCCTCAACATTTCAGATCAAGGCTAATGCTCTACCACTTGATCCACAGTGCCACTTCTGGTTTTCTGAGTGGTTTATTGGAGATGAGTCTTACAGACTTTCATGCTTGGGCTGGCTTTGAACTGTGATCCTCAGATCTCAGCCTCCTGAGTAGCTAGGATTACAGGCGTGAGCCACTGGCACCCAACTTGATTCATTTTTTGAGATATGGTCTTGGTAAGTTTTTTGCCCAGGTGGCCTCAAACCCTTACTGTCCTATCTCTGCCTTCTAAGTAATTGGGATTACAGGTGTGAGCCACTATGCTGTCTCTACTCATCTATTGATAGACATTTGGGATTGTTTCTATCTGTGAATAATATTGCAGTGCATATCAGGGTTCTAAATACCTGTTGAGTCCCTGTTTTGAACTGTGTAGGGTATATACTTAGGAGTGGAGTTGCTGGATCACATGGTTGAGCCAGCCATTCCAAACTCTATTCCACAGTGGTTACACCATTTTACATTCCCAGAAGCAATGTGCAGGGGTTCCAAGGTCTCCATGTCCTCATCAACCTTACTTGTCCTCCTCTTGCTCTTCCTTTCTTTTCATAAAGTTACCCTAATATGTACATAGGGCTAACTAGAGGCCTTTTTTTTTTGTGGATACTAGAACTTGAACTTAGGGCCTTATACTCTTGACTTGCTTACTCAGTGGGTGCTTTACCACCTGTAGCCTGGCCATTTGCTGATTATTTTGGAGATAGAATCTTGAAGACTTTTCTGTCTGAGCTGGCTTTGAATCTCTATCCTCTTGGTGTCAACCTTCCAAGCAGCTAGGATTGCAGGCATGAGCCACCAGTGCCCAGCTTCATTCTGGTTTTTCCTGGTTAACTGGAGATACGAATACTAAGACTTTCCTATCCGGGCACTAGTGGCACACACCTATAATCCTAGCTACTCAGGAGGCTGAGATCTGAGGACTGCAGTTCAAAGCCATTCCGGGCAGGAAAAGCTGTGAGACTCCAATAAACGACTCAAAAAAGCCACAGGTGGTGCTGTGGCTCAAGTGGTAGAGCACTAGCCTTGAGCTAAAGAAGCTGAAGGATAGCACCCAGGCCCTGAGTTCAAGCCCCATGACCAGCACAAAACAAACAAACAAAAAAATAGAATAGCTGATGAACCAAAATAAACTGTGTGCTACTTTTCAGACCAAATCTTAGCTAACTTGGACAAGTTCCCATGCCTTAAAGAATTATCTGTGAAATTAGACAATCAACGAGATGTATTTTCAGTCATTCCTGAAGAATTCTCAAAGCTCCACCATATGGAGAAATTATGGATTCAAATTTTCTCTGAGAAGGATTCCTCCAAACTGGGTGAGAATGACACTTGGACTTATTTTTATGTCACTTGGGCAAGTTACTTGGCCAATAATTTATTTAGGAGTTAAAATCCTATGATCTGGTATAGCCTATATTGAATACTTCATGGGAATAACATTCTTTGTCTTTAGAAAAGCAGAGAGCTGGGCTGGGAAGGTGGCTTAGTGGTAGAGCGCTTGCCTTGCATGCTCAAGGCCCTGGGTTCGATTCCTCAGCACCACATAAGCAAAAAGAAAAAAGCCGGAAGTGGTGCTGTGGCTCAAGTGGTAGAGCGCTAGCCTTGAGCTGAAGAGCTGAGGGACAGCGCCCAGGCCCAGAGTTCACGCCCCACAACCGGACCCAAAAAAAAAAAAAAAAAGAAAAGCAGAGAGAGCTATTTGTAATTGCATTGCTAGAGACTATTGTACGCATGTCACAAATTCTAACTCTTCACTTTCACACCTATTCTATAAGGTAACATTATTATTGCCATCTGGTAGCTGGGGAAACTGAGGCATAAAGAGGTGAAGTCATATGCCAGGTGCCATTGCCTCCTGCCTATAATCCTAGCTGCTCAGGGGCTGAGATCTGAGGATCTCAGTTCAAAAGCCAGCTCAGGCAGGAAAGACTGTGAGACTCTTTTTTTTTTTGGTTTTTTTTTTTTTTTCCCCAGGTTTTTCTGCTTACATGGTGCAGAGAAATCGAACCCAGGGCCTCATGCATGCAAGGCAAGCACTCTACCACTGAGCCACCTTCCCAGCCCGTGTGAGACTTTTATTTCCAATAAACCATCAGAAAACTAGAAGTGACACTGTAGCTCAAGTGGTAGAGCACTAGCCTTGAGCTGAAGAGCTCAGGGACAGTGCCCAGGCCCAGAGTTCAAGCCCTATGACCAACAACAACAAAAAAAAGAGGTGAAGTCATTTGCTCAAGTTCATTCAGCAAAAGACATATAGATTCACAAACTCCAAATTTGCAATTCTTTCTTCCCTCCCTGGGACTGGAGCTTGACTTCACAAACACACACACACACACACACACACACACACAAACACACACACACACGGAACACAAGCCCAACTAATGTTTATTAAAGCTGAAAATTGTAGTGGGCGTTGTCATTGTTTTATTCTTTGTTTCCTAGTACCAGGTTTTTAACTCAGGACCTTACATTTCCCTTACTTGCTGTGATGCTCTCTACCACTTGAGCTATGCCATCAGACTAGCTTGCTTGCTTGCCTGCTTGCTTGCTTGCTTGCTTTCTCTCTCTCTCTTTCTTTCTTTCCTCTCTCTTCCTTTCTTTCCCCTCTCTTCCTTTCTTTCCCCTCCCTCCCTGCCTCCTCTCCTTCCCTCCTTCCTTCCTTCCCTCCCTCCCTCCCCTTCCATTCACTCCCTCCCTTCCTTCCTTCCCTCCTTTTCTCCTTCCCTTCTTCCTTCCTTCCTTTTCTCTCTCCCTCCCTCCCTTCCTCCCTCCCTCCCTTCCTTTCTTCCTTCCTTCCCTCCTTTTCTCCTTCCCTTCTTCCTTCCTTCCTTTTCTCTCTCCCTCCCTCCCTTCCTTCCTCCCTCCCTTCCTTCCTTCCTTTCTTCCTTCCTTCCCTTTCTCCTTCCCTCCTTCCTTTTCTCTCTCTCTCTCTCTCGCTCTCTCTCTCCCCCTCTCTTCCTCTCTCTCCCTCTCTGTCTTGTTGGTTGTGGGGCTTGAACTCTGGGCCTGGGCACTGTCCCTCAACTCTTCAGCTCAAGGCTAGCGCTCTACCACTTGAGCCAGCACCACTTCCGGTTCTCTGTGGTTTATTGGAGATAAAAGTCTCATGGACTTTCCTGCCCAGGCTGGCTCTGAACTGTGATCTCAGACCTCAGCCTCCTGAGTAGCTAGGATTATAGGCAGGAGCCCAACCTCTCTCTCTCTTTGAGATGGAGTTTCACAGACTTTACTGCCTAGGCTGGCTTCAAACTGAGATCCTCAGATCTCAGTTTCCTTAGTAGCTCAGATTACAAGTGTGAATCACTGATGACAGTTTTCTTATATTAAATATAGGTTTTGCTTCATAGTTACTGTCCTTCTGGTTTTGTATGATACATTTTTTTTGGGGTCCGGTTGTGGGGCCTGAACTCTGGGCCTGGGCGCTGTCCCTCAACTCTTCAGCTCAAGGCTAGCGCTCTACCACTTGAGCCACAGCGCCACTTCGGCTTTTTTCCTTTTGCTTATGTGGTGCTGGGAAATCGAACCCAGGGCCTCAAGCATGCAGGGCAAGCGTTCTACCACTGAGCCACCTTCCCAGCGCTGATACATTTTTTTAAATATTAGAATCAAACTCAAGATCTAAGCTTGCTAGTTTTGAGCCATGCCAACACAGACGCATTGTTAAAGCTAAAGATGACTTTACTGAACCCTTAGTTTATAGAAGAAAAAACTGATCCCAGAGAGGGTCAGGAATTTATCCAAACTCATGTTGCTCTTTTTTTAGTTTTAGAACCTGAACATACCCCCAAAATAGCGTGATTCTTTAGCTCATTACATTTATGGTGCCTTGTTTATACTTGTATTGCTGGTGGGAAAATAAATGAGTACATTTTGATAGAAATTTACAATCTTCTCTAATATCCAAATGTCCTCATGTTTTATAGTCAGGTTGATTCAGAACTCTCCAGGCCTTCGTGTTCTCTGCTTGAAGTGCTGTGTCTTGGACTTTGAGTCTCTTATGAATGCACTTGTTTCATGCAAGAAACTTGAAGAAATTCAGTTTTCTGGACGATGTTTTGAAGTCACCCCATTTGGTAAGAACTGTCATGTTAAAATTTTGGTTTAAGATGCTCCTGTGAACAAAGTCATATCAAGTAATCTAAAAAGAATGAGCATTCAGAAATGAAATCGTTGCTGGATACTAGTTGCTCACACCTATGACTATAATCTTAGTTACTCAGTAGTTGAGACCTGGGGATCTTAGTGAAAAGAAAGCCCAAAAGCAAATCTGCCACTCTCACCTCCAATTTAGCAAAAAAGCCCAGCCTGGAGATGCGATTTAAGTGGTAGAGCGCAGCCATAGGCAAAAAAGCTGAATGAGAACACAGGGCTTTGAGTTCAATCCCCATAATGGCACAAAAATAAATAAAATAAATAAAAATGCAATTATTGCTGGGCACCAGTGGCTCACACCTGTAATCCTAGCTACTGAGGAGCTAAGATCTGAGGATCCTGGTTCAAAGCCAGCCTGGGCAAGGAAAGTTCGTGAGTCTCTTATCTTCAATTAACTACCAGAGAACTGGAAGTGGTGCTGTGGCTCAAATGGTAGAGCACTTGCTTTGAGCTAAAGAGTTGAGGGACAGCACCCAGGCCCAGAGTTCAAGCCTGGCGACCAGTTGTTGCCAGGTGCTCATTCATGTCTATAATCCTAGCTACTCAAGAGACAGATATAGCCAGGAGCTGGTGGATCATGCCTGTAATCCTAGCTACTCAGGAGGCTGAGATCTGAGGATCCCAGTTCAAAGTCAGCCCACACAGGAAAATTCTGAGAGACTCTTTTCTCCAATTAACCCACCATAAAGAAAAAGGACAAGGACTGGGAAGGTGGTCGAGAGGTAGAGTGCTTGCCTTGCATGCCTGAGGCCCTGGGTTCGATTCCTCAGCACCACATAAGCAAAAAGAAAAAAGCTGGAAGTGGTGCTGTGGCTCAAGTGGTAGAGCGCTAGCCTTGAGCTGAAGAGCTGAGGGACAGCGCCCAGGCCCAGAGTTCAGGCCCCACGACCGGATCCACCCCCCTCCAAAAAAAAAAAAAGAAAAGAAAAAGGACAGAAGTGGAGCTGTGGTTCAAGTAGTAGAGTGTTAGTCTTGAGTATAAAAAGCTTAGGGACAGCCAGGTGTTGGTGTAATCCTAGTTACTCAGGAGGCTGAGATCTGAGGCTCATGGTTCAAAGCCACACCAGGCAAGAAAGTCTACGAGACTCCTCTCCCAATTAACTACCTAAAAACTGGAAGTGAAACTGTGGCTGAAATTGGTAGAGTGCTAGCCTTGAACACAAAAGCTCAGGGACAGAGCCTAGATCCGGAGTTCAAGCCCCATGACCAACAAAAATAAAATAATAAAATCTCAGGGACAGTGCCCTGGTCTTGAGTTCAAACCTCAGGACTGGCAGCAAAAAACCAATTTTGGTCAAAGAACTTTTACTTTTTACTGATTAATTGGAGATTAAAAAGTCTCATGGGGCTGGGAAGATGGCTCAGTGGTAGAGTGTTTGCCTTGCATGCATGAGGCCCTGGGTGTGATTCCTCAGCACCATATAAACAGAAAAAACTGGAAGTGGCGCTGTGGCTCAAGTGGTAGAGCACTAGCCTTGAGCTGAAGAGCTGAGGGACAGCGCCCAGGCCCAGAGTTCAGGTCCCATGACCGGCCCCACCAAAAAAAAAAAAAAAAAAGGTTCTTTAGCCAGACACCAGTGGCTCACACCTGTAGTCCTAGCTATTCAGGAGGCTGAAATATGAGGCTGAGATCGGAGATCATGGTTCGAAGCCAGCCCAGGCAGGAAAGTCTGTGAGACTCTTATCTCCAGTTAACCACCAGAAAACCAGAAGTGGCACTGTGGCTCAAGTGGTAGAGCACTCGCCTTGAGATGAAGAGCTAAAGGACAGCACCCAGGCCCAGAGTTCAAGCCCCATGACCAAAAAAAAAAAAAAGGAATTTCATGCACTTTCCTGCCCAGGCTGGCTTTGAACTGTGATCCTCAGATCTCAGCCTCCTTAGTAGCTAGGATTATAGGCGTGAATCACCAGTGTCCAGCCAATGAATTCTTTATAACGTTAAATATTTTTAGTTTTCTAATTTTCTTAACAAAAATGTTTCCCTGTGTAGTGAAATTCACTGTGAATTTTAGTCATTTTTACAAGACTGTTAAAAAAATGTTAGTCTTCGTTACAACACATGTATCCATCATAACTAAATTTTCATTTTTTTTCTTTAGTCACCAGTTTGCCAAATTTTGCTTCCCTGAAGATATTAAATCTTAATCTGCAATACTTCCCTGATAAAGAAACATCAGAAAAATTTGGTATGTTCACAAAGCTATGTTTACTTATTCCTGGTCTCCCACAGACGGGCTACACAAAGTCCCTTTATTACTATTGAACTAGCCACAAGAAAACAAGGTATATGGGGCTGGGAAGGTGGCTCAGTGGTAGAGCACTTGCCTTGCATGCTCGAGGCCCTGGGTTCAATTCCTCAGTACCACATAAGAAAAAAGCCAGAAGTGGCGCTGTGGCTCAATGGTAGAGTGCTAGCCTAAAGCTGAAGAGCTGAGGGACATCACCCAGGCCCAGAGTTCAGGCCCCATGACCGGACCCCCCCCCCCCCAAAAGAAAAAGAAAACAAAGTATATACAGTTGTCCCTCAGTATCTCTGGAGATTGCTTCCAGGACTTTCTTCTCCCTTTTCTTTTTCTTTTTCTTTTTTTTTTTTGGGGGTCCGGTCGTGGGGTCTGAATTCTGGACCTGGGCGCTGTCCTTCAGCTCTTCAGCTCAAGGCTAGAGCTCTACCACTTGAGCCACAGCGCTACTTCCGGCTTTTTTTTCTGCTTATGTGGTGCTGAGAAATCGAACCCAAGGCCTTGAGCATGCAAGGCAAGCGCTGTACCACTGAGCCACCTTCTCCCTTTTCTAAGCCTTCTTCTCCCTTTTCTAAGAATGGTTTTGTGTTTGCATATAACCTACACACACCTTCCTAGGCACTTTAAGCCATCTGTAGATATAAATGCTTTGTATATAGTTGTTACATGGTATAGTTTAGAATTAATGAGAAAGCTAGTTTGTTTGCTTAATCTTTGCTTAGTGAGGTGGGGCAAAAAAATGGAGGGAAAAATGTAACAGTAGCACTCACTTAACACCATGTTGAAAATGAACTACATAACTTGTGGGCGGGGACAGGAAGGACAAACTGGGAGAGAGCCAGGGAAGGGATGCCATTGTCCAAAAAGAAATTTACTCTTTGCCAGGTGCCAGTGGCTCACACCTGTAATCCTAGCTACTCAGGAGGCTGAGATCTGAGGATTGCAGTTCGAGGCCAGTTCGGACAGGAAAGTCCCCCTGAGACACTTTTTTTTTAGGGGGGGGAGTCCGGTCGTGTGGCCTGAACTCTGGGCCTGGGCGCTGTCCCTCAGCTCTTCAGCTCAAGGCTAGCGCTCTACCACTTGAGCCATAGCGCCACTTCCGACTTTTTTCTTTTTGCTTATGTGGTACTGGGGAATCGAACCCAGGGCCTCAGGCATGCAAGGCAAGCGCTCTACCACTGAGCCACTTTCCCAGCCCCCCCCCGAGACTCTTACCTCCAATTACTACTCAAAAATCAGAAGTGGTGGCTGTGAATGTGGCTTAGTGGTAGAATGTTTGCCTAGCATGTATGAAGCCTTAAGTTGGATTCCTCAGTAGTACCACATAAACAGAAAAAGCTGGAAGTGATGCTGTGGCTCAGGTGGTAGAGTGCTAACCTTGAGCAAAAGAGCTCAGGGACAGTGCCCAGGCCCTGAGTTCAAGCCCCAGGACTGGGAAAAAAAAAAAATCAAAGTGGCACTGTGGCTCAAAGTTGTAGAGCACTAGCCTTGAGCAGAAAAGCTCAGGAACAGTGCCCAGGCTGAGTTCAAGCCCATGATTGGTGAAAGAAAGAAAGAAAGGGAGAGAGAGAAAGAAAGAAAGAAAGAGAAAGAAAGAAGAGAGAGGGAGGGAGGGAGGGAAAGGAAAGGAAAGGAAAAGAAAGGAAGGGAAAAGGGAAGGGAAAGAAAAAGGGAAGGGAAGGAAAAGGAGGGGAGGGGAGGGGAGAGGGGAGGGGAGGGGAAAATGGGGGAGGGGGGGAGGGGAGGGGAGGGAAAGGAAATCAGTGGCTCACAACTGTAATCCTAGCTACTCAGGAGGCTGAGATCTGAGAATCTCAGTTCAAAGCAAGTCTGGACAGGAAAGTTGTATGAGACTCTTATCTCCAATAAACCACTCACAAAACTGGAAGTGGTGCTATGTATGGCTCAAGTGGTAGAGTGCTAGCCTTGAGCTGAAGAGCTGAGGGACAGTGCCCAGGCCCAAAGTTCAAGCCCCACAAGTGACAAAAAAAGTAATAGCAAGGAAAACTGTGTACATCCCATCAGAAGAGATGAACGTTTTTATTAGCATAGATTAGTTGAAGGAGCAGGGTAGAGTTTGTTATTACATTTCCACCTACAGATGCAATGTACACCCATCAGCCTCAACCCTGTGTTGCTCTCCCTTTCTCCCTCTCCACTTCTTAAAACTCTTTTTTTGTCCCCTTTGACAGCTTCAGCCTTGGGTTCTCTTACTAAGCTGGAAGAACTGAACCTACCCACTGGGGATGGAATTCAACAAGTGGCCAAACTGATTGTCCAGCAGTGTCAACAGCTTCCATGCCTCCGAGTCCTCTCCTTCTTCCAGACTTTGAGTGATGATAGTATCATGGGAATTGGTAAGCTACCTTTAGAGAAGGAATTGCGCCTTCCTTCCTTCCCTCCTTTACTTCCTTCCTTCTCTCCTTCCTTACTTCCTTCCTTTCCATCCTTCCTGTGCTGGGAATTAAACTCACATGCTAGGCAAACTCTGTCATCAAGCTACATCCCAGCCAAGTCTATGTTTAGACACCTGAACAAATACTTGTGTTTTTAAAAACTGAAGATGAATATACCCATAAGAGAGTGAAGAAATCTGAAGTATAAAGCTCAATGAATATTTGAACATTTTTGTTAGGAATTTGTTAGATTTGTTAGGGAACAGTCAATCAAATTAGAAGGTGGAGCATCACCAATCCCCACAGCACTCTATGTGCCCCTCCCTGACAGTGCTTTCCCCTTAGCTGACTACTATATTGCTTTCTTTCACCACAGATTAGATTTTTCCCATTAAATGTGTGTGTGTGTGTGTGTGTGTGTGTGTGGTCCTGGGCTTGAACTCAGGTTCTGGCACTGTCCCTGAGCTTTTTCACTCAAGGCTAGCACTCACTCTACCACCTGAGCCACTGCTCTACTTCTGGCTTGTTAGTGGTTAATTTGAGATAAACATCTGTCCAGAATGGCTTTGAACTGCAATCCTTAAGTCTTAGTCTTCTAAGTAACTAGGATTACAGAGGCTACCAGCATCCAGCTTGCCATTGAAATTTGTGTGCAATAGTATTATTCCTACACAGTATGTACTCTTTTGTATATTTTTGGCTCAACATTGTATTTGTGCCATTTACTGACATATGTGCCTAGAGTTCACTGATTTTTGCCATATATTGTTTCATTTTGTGACTAGCTACTCCTTACTTCATCCATTTGAGTTGTTTCTAATTCTTGATTACCACAAATGATGATTCTATGAACATTCTTCTATATAGCCCTTAATGTATATATTTATGTAATTTTAGAGGTAAAACTTCTGGCTTTCCAGAAATTCAAATATAGACATATTAGCATAATTTCCCATGGCATTTGTACCCATTTGCAACCCAAACAGCAGTTATTAAGGCTGAACTTGGTATTGTTGTCTTTGTATGTTACCACTTTGATACTTCGTACTGGCGTCTCATTGTGGATTCTTCCTTCTGTCTAGCTGTGTATTAGGCAGGCACTGAGGCAAGCCTTCAGCCTTTTTGCACACTTGGTTTAAAAAAAAAAATTTTTTTTTGATGGGTCGTGGGGCTTGAACTCTGGGCCTGGGTGCTGTCCCTTAGCTCTTCAGCTCAAGGCGAGTGCTCTACCACTTGAGCCACAGTGCCACTTCCGGGTTTCTAGTGGTTTATTTGGAGATAGGAGTCTCATGGTCTCTCCTGCCCGGGCTGGCTTTGAACTGCGATCCTCAGATCTCAGCCTCCTGAGTAGCTAGGATTACAGGTGTGAACCACTGGCACCCCGCTAAAAAAAATTTTTTTAATAGTAGCATTTGTTACTTTTGAGATAGGGCCTGCCCAGGCTAGGACTTAAGACTTCAGTCTATTTATTTTCTACAAAGCTAGGAAGACAGGCATGTGTACTTGAGAAGGTTTCTCAAGAACTATTTTGTCTGGGCTGGCCTTGTACCACAATCTCCCCTCTCTCAGCCTTTTAAGTAGCTAGGATTACAAAACACCAATGCCTGTCTTATTTTCCTTATAGTTCCATTTTTTATCAGCACACATTAGTAATACAAGGGAGTTGCATTTTAACATTTCCATACATGTATACAGGCTATCAAGCACATGTCCCAAAACATTTATTTCATACACGCAAATAAACAACTATTATCATCCTCCTCTTACACCCACACTTCAGCCTCTCCTCTTTCCTCTGGTGCCTGTCATCCTCAATGTAGCCTGCCCCATTAGTCTGTTATTTTTCCTTTTTTTTTTTTTGGTCGGTCGTGGGCCTTGAACTCTGGGCCTGAGAGCTGTCCTTCAGCTCTTCAGCTCAAGGCAAGGGCTCTACCGCTTTAGCTACAGCGCCACTTCCCAGTTTCTGGTGGTTTATTGGAGATAAGAGTTTCATGGACTTTCCTGCCTGGGCTGGATCCTCAGATCTCACCCTCCTGAGTAGCTAGGATTACAGGTGTGAGCCACCGGCGTCCGGCCTATTTTTCCATTTTTTAGGTGTATTAATTGCAACAATAGGCTCCACATTGGTGCTTTAATTGTGCTTACAACAAGCTACTTTCTCCTTCTCTGGTCCCTCCCCAAGTCCTTATTAATCAACAGATTTCATTGAAACGCTAATGCCAACTTCATAGTTACTTTTCCCTCTCATCTTCCCTCATCCCATACGTAGGATCATGTTCTCTCAATATACATAAAAACTTTATGTACAGTTATATATACCTATGTCCGTGTCCATGAGTATGTATGTCTTTTAGGTGTTACTTTCACATATCACATATTGTAGTTTTCTTGTTTTTGTTTTTGGTGTGGGTCCTGGGGCTTGAACTCAGGACCTTATCTCTTGCTTGGCTTTTTTGCTCAAGGCTAGTATTGAGACATATCTCTAACTTTTGGCTTTTTGCCGGTTAATTACAAGTCTCCTAGATTTGTCTACCAGGGCTCATGCCTGTAATCCTAGCTCCTCAGAAGGCTGAGATCTAAGGATCACAGTTCAAAGACAGCCCAGGTAAGAAAGAGACTCTTATCTCCAATTAGCCACCAGAAAACCGGAAGTGGCGCTGAAGCTCAAGTGGTAGGGTACGGGCCTTGAGCTGAAGAGCTGAGGAACAGCACCCAGGCCCAGAGTTCAGGCCCTATGACTGACCAAAAAAAAAAAAATCAGACCCTGGGCAACAGGTACAGGATATAGTAGTAGGGAGGACATGCCTTTTTTTTTCTTTTTCTTTTTTGTCGGTCGTGGGGCCTGAACTCTGGGCCTAGGCACTGTCTCTCAGCTCTTCAGCTCAAGGCTAGCGCTCTACCACTTGAGCCATAGCACCACTTCTGGCTTTTTCTGCTTATGTGGTGCTGAGGAATAGAACTCAGGGCCTCATGCATGCAAGGCAAGCGCTCTACCACTGAGCCACCTTCACAGCCCCCCTACCACCTTTTTCTTTTTGTCAGTAGTAGGGCTTGTACTTGACCTGGGCGCTGTCCCTGAGCTCTTCAGCTCAAGGCTAGTGCTCTACTACTTGAACCACAGCACCACTTCCAGTTTTCTGGTGGTTTATGAGAGATGAGTCTCATGGACTTTCTTGCCCCAGCCGGCTTTAACCACGATCCTCAGATCTCAGCCTCCTGAGTGGCTAGGATTACAGGTGTAAGCCACCAGCACTGGGCTTGTTATTAGGCTTTTGTTGGATGTATTGCTGATAAAGGTCCTTCTAGTCTGTTGGCTTGTCTTTCTAGTTTAATAACTATGTCCTTTGCTGTGCCCTTGTGACTCTTCGAAAAGTTTCTGTCTATATCTATGAGGTTTAGTGTTTCTCCTTCTCCCTCCTGCAGTAATTTAAGTTTCAGGTCTGATGTTGAGGTAGTTGATCCACTTTGAGTTGATATTAGTGTGTAGTGACAGGGATCCACTTTTAGTTTTCTGCATGTTGATGTCCAGTTGTCCCAATAGCAATTATTGAAGAGGCTATATTTTTTTTCCATTGTATATCTTTGGCTCCTTATCAAGTATCAGATAATTGAAAGTATATAGTTTTAATTCTGGGTCTTTTAGTTTGTTCCATTGATCTTCAGGTGTATTTTATGCCAATACCAAGCTGTTTTTGTTATTATAGCTCTGTACAAGAGCTTGAGGTGTGGGATTGTGAAACTACCAGCATTGCTTTTTTTTTTTTTTTTGTCGGTCATGCGGCTTGAACTCTGGGCCTGGGCGCTATCCCTCAGCTCTTCAGCACTCTACCACTTGAACCACAGCTCCACTTCTGGTTTTGAGTGATTTATTGGAGATAAGTCTCATGGACTTTCCTGCCCGGGCTGGCTTTGAACAGCAATCCTCAGATCTCAGCCTCCTGAGTAGCTAGGATTACGGGTGTGAGCCACCAGCGCCCTGCTCAGCATTGCTTTTTTTGCTTATAATTGCTTTGGCTATTCGAGGTTTATTGTTCCATATGAATTTTTGTATTGTTTCTCTCTGTCAAGAATGTCATTGGGATTTTGATGGGGATTGCATTAGGTTTGTAGATCATTTTTGGCAGTCTGGCCATTTTCACAATATTAATTCTGCCTATCAATGAACATGGAAGGTGTTTCCACTTCCCGATTAAGGACATGTATTTTGGAATGCCAGTCTCCATAAGAAGAGAAATCTTTTGTAATCATCCTGCTTCTTAGGCATACTCTGCCTTTGCTGTCTTCCTGAAAGCTTTTGAAATTTGCTCAGAAGGGCACTTGCCTGTAATCCTAGCAACTCAGGAGGCTGAGATCTGACAATCACAGTTTGAAGCCAGCCTGGGCAGGAAAGTCTACAAGACTCTTCTCTCCAATTAATGACAGAAAAAGCCAGAAGTGGTACTGTGGCTCAAAGTGGTAGAGTGCTAGCTTTCAGCAAAAGGAGCTCAGGGACAGCTCCCAGGCCCAGAGTTTAAGCTCCAGCTGGGAGAGAGGAGAGAGAAGAGAGAGAGAGAGAGAGAGACAGAGACAAAGAGAGAGAGAGAGACAAAGAAAATAACCAGTGGGGCACCAGTGGCTCACACTTGGAATCCTAGCTACTCAGAAGGCTGAGACCTGATGATCACTGTTTGAAGCCAGCCTAGGCAGGAAAGTTCATCTCTGATCTCCAATAATCACCAAAAGTTGGAGATGGAACACAAAAGCTCACAGACAGTGTCCTGTCCCAGAGTTCAAGCCCCAGAAGGAAAAAAAAAATTAGCCAGAGCCGGGCACTGGTGACTTATGCCTGTAATCCTAGATACTCAGGAGGCTGAGAGCTGAGGATCATGGTTCAGAGCCAGCCTGGGCAGTAAAGTCCATGAGACTCTAATCTCCAGTAAACCCAGAAAAACTGGAAGTGGCGCTGTGGCTCAAGTAGTGGAGCACTAGCCTTGAGCTAAAGAGTTGAGGGACAGCCCCACGACCCACACCAACAAATTAGCCAAGTGCTAGTGGCTCATGTCTGTAATCCTGCCTACTGAAGAGGCTGAGATGTGAGGATCACAGTGAAGTCCATGACACTATGTCTCCAATTTGCTATCAAAAAGCTGGAAGCTGGGTGTGGCTCAAGCAGTAGAGCATCAGCCTGAGCCAAAAAGCTCAGGGTACAAGGTCCTGGGTTCGAGCCCAATACTACCACAAAAAATCAAAACCCAACCAAACAAATATGTATTGTACTGGACACTTCTCCCTTTGATCGGTGGTAGTGGTTGGAAAAAGGGTCTACCAACAGAGTCCTCAAGAGTTCAGTCTCACGAATGTTTTATCTTCGTAGCCCAGGCAGCCATCAGTGGAGGTTTTCAGAAGCTTGAGAAGTTAAATCTTTCACTCAATCACAAGGTCACAGAAGAAGGATACAGAACTTTCTTCCAGGCACTGGACAACCTGCCAGCTTTGCAAGAGTTGGACATCTCCAGGTATTTTACACACTGTATCAAAGTGCAGGCCACCACAGTGAAGGCACTGAGCCAGTGTGTGCTACGCCTGCCGAGTCTCACCACACTCAGCATGCAAAGTTGGCTCCTGGATACAGAGGACATCATACTTCTCAATATCATGAGAGAAAGACACCCTCAATCTAAACACTTCACTATTTTCTGGAAATGTATATTACCAATAGAGAAATAGCTCACACAGAACAAACAAGAGTGAATCTTAACCAGGATCTGCATGCACCTTTTTCCAAGCTATTGCTTTACCTGTATAAGATCTCTTCGGGATACTTGACCAAAATTGCCGAGTACAGCTTGCTTATGCACTACCAATGGGAGAAACAAATAAGGTCTAGGGAAAACTGCCTTTATTCCAGTGGCTTTGAAGAATTTACCATATATTACTATGGCTTTAACATTTTCTTAGGAATTCATTCTACTCAAAATCCATGGTGTGGATCTATGGGTTTTAAGAAGACCAAACAGGGTTTTCTTTCATTAAGAATTTTTGAGGGGGTGGGCGCTGGTGGCTCACGCCTGTAACCCTAGCTACTCAGGAGGCTGAGATCTGAGGATTGCGGTTCAAAGCCAGCCCAGGCAGGAGAGACCGTGAGACTATCTCCAATAAACCACCAGAAAACCGGAAGTGGCGCTGTAGCTCAAGTGGTAGAGGCTCGCCTTGAGCTGAAGAGCTGAGGGACAACGCCCAGGGCCCAGAGTTCAAGCCCCATGACCGACAAAAAAAAAAAAAGAATTTTTGAGGGGGACTGGGAAGGTGGCTCAGTGATAGAGTGCTTGCCTTGCATGCATGAGGCCCTGGGTTCGATTCCCCAGCACCACATAAACAAAAAGGAAAAAGGCCGGAAGTGGCGCTGTGGCTCAAGTGGTAGAGCACTAGCCTTGAGCTGAAGAGCTGAGGGACAGTGCCCAGACCCAGAGTTCAGTCCTCATGACCGGACCCAAAAAAAAAAAAGTATATTTGAATATACTAATTAGCTTGCTTGTAATAATCATTTATTGTTTTCACAATGTGTATCAGAATATCACACAGCGCCCTAATGTTGGCATACCTTAAACTTATATAATTTTTGTCAATTATACTTTGAATAAAAAAAAAATCATCAAAAAGCATATAAATGGAACTGGTAGATCATCATCCTTGAGAAAGTTGAGGGCAGTGTCCCGGACAAGTTGAAAGTCCGAGTGTCCCCCCGCCTGTACACACCAAAAGTATGGAACTCTACGTGGAAAAAAGCCTACAAATTTGGGCCGAGTTCAAGCCCTAGTACCACACAATCAGCCAATAAAGAGAAAGAAAAGACTGAGTTAATAACAGAAATTACGCAGTAAGGAATAAAGAGAACTTGGAACCAACTTTGGGCTACTCACCTGAGGCTAAGACATCCCAGACTTAATCTGTGGGAGAAGACACTGCTTCTGAATGTTTAATGCTCTCACAGGCTGTCTGTATGTCAGGATTGTTACACAAAATCTCCCACTAGACCTCCAGCTCTCAAAGTAAATGCTGAAAACCTTACAATGACTTTCATAGGGCCCCTATCTCCTCTCTCCTTCCTCTCACCAGCCCCCTGCTTCTACATCCCTGAATATCCTACACATTCTCTCGTGTAAGGACCTCTGTGCTTTCTTTCTTTTGTGTATGTGGGGAGGAGGGGGAAGAGGTGTGTGTGTCTTGGGGCTTGGATTTGGCCTGGGTACTGTCCTTGGGCTAATTTTTGCTGAAAGCTAGTGCTCTTCCACTTAAACCACAGCTCTGCTTCCAGCTTGATCGTTAATTGGAGATGAGTCTTATGGAGGGCTGGGTAAGTGGCTCAGTGGTAGAGTGCTTGCCTTGCATGCATGAGGCCCTGGGTTCCATTCCTCAGCACCACATAAGCAAAAAAAGCTGGAAGTGATGCTGTGACTCCAGTGGTAGAGTGCTAGCATTGAGCTGAAAAGCTGAGGGACAGCACCCAGGCCCAGAGTTCAGGCCCCACAACAGACAAGAAAAAAAAAGTATGGACTTTCCTGCCTGGGTTGACTTTGAACTGTGATCCTCAGATCTTAGCCTACTAAGTAGCTAGGATTACAGGTGTGAGCCATTGGCACCCCGTTTCCTTTATTTCCTTTACTGAGAGTTTTTCCCTTGCTATGACTTGGAAATGGCTCATGTGTTAAGGTGTGTTGGTGTTTATCTGCAGATCTAGGGGCCAGCACTCTACCATAACTCTACCCACCAGCATCCCAGATTAGTAACACTTAACCATTTACCCCTTCTTCTATAGTTAAATGGCAACTGGCTTAGACAGTGTACATGAGGACATAAGAAATCAGGGGCAGGGGCTGGGAAGGTGGCTCAGTGGTAGAGCACTTGCCTTGCATGCCAGAGGCCCTGGGTTCGATTCCTCAGCACCACATAAGCAAAATGAAAAAAGCCAGAAGTGGCGCTGTGGCTCAAATGGTAGAGCGCTAGCCTTGAGCTGAAGAGCTGAGGGACAGCACCCAGGCCCAGAGTTCAGGCTCCACAACTGGACCCCCCCCCAAAAAAAAAAAGTGGTCAGGGGCAGGGGAAGAACACAAAAGGTACAGAGTAGAATGACACAACTCTTGAGCAATATAACACAGGCTGGATATGAGGACACAAGCCTATAATTCTAGCAGGATATCAAATTTAAGGTCAGACTACATAGTAAATACTCCAAAGAAACAGAACATTCCCTTGGTTGCTGACTGGCCAGTCTAGTTCTTAAAACACCTAACTTCCCAAGCCTCTATTTCCTAAGCTTGGACTGTCAGGAAGAATGCCTTACAATTTTTTTTTTTTTGTCAGTCGTGGGGCTTGAACTCCGGGCCTGGGCACTGTCCCTCAGCTCTTCAGCTCAAGGCGAGGGCTCTACCACTTGAGCTACAGCGCCACTTCCGGTTTTCTGGTGGTTTATTGGAGATAGGAGTCTCATAGTCTCTCCTGCCCGGGCTGGCTTTGAACCACGATCCTCAGATCTCAGCCTCCTGAGTAGCTAGGATTACAGGCGTGAGCCACCAGCGCCCGGCTTACAATTATTTTTTTAACTGATCCTGGGGTTTGAACTCAGCTGTTCCTTAGGTACTTTTTTTTTTTTTTTTTTTGGTCGGTCATGGGGCTTGAACTCTGGGCCTGGGCGCTGTCCCTCAGCTCTTCAGGTCAAGGCGAGCGCTCTACCACATGAGCTACAGCGCCACTTCCGGTTTTCTGGTGGTTTATTGGAGATAGGAGTCTCACGGTCTCTCCTGCCCAGGCTGGCTTTGAACCGCGATCCTCAGATCTCAGCCTCCTGAGTAGCTAGGATTACAGGCGTGAGCCACCAGCGCCTGGCTCCTTAGGTACTTTTACTCAAGGCTAGCACTCTACCACTTGAGCCATAGTTCTACTTATAGATTCTTCTGTTATTAAAGATAAAAAAAATCTCTCATTGGGCTTCTAGCCCAGGCTGGCTTCGAACTATGATCTTCAGATCTCAGCCTCTTGAGTAGCTAGGATTATATGCATGAGCCAATGGCACCCAGCAATTAATCCATTCTATCTTTGCAATAGTACTCTTGACCCAAGTAGGACTGAGTTGTCTTTTTTTTTTTTTCTTCAGAGCTGAGGACCAAACTCAGGGCCTTGCGCTCTTCTGCTGAGCTAAACGCCGAGCCCCATGAGTTGTCTTTTCTTATTTTGTTTAAACAGATTCAACTTCATATACTCAAGGTTTCAAAAATTTTTATTTTATTTTGAAAGGCGTTAATAAAAAGCTTAACATATTTACTAAGTTGCAATTATACAAAGTGCTGAATCACAAATTTAACAGACCAACTCATGTCCTGAACATAACCTTTGAGTTTCTTTCAAGCACTCACATTTCCATTGTTTAGTTACTCTCACTGACTGCCCCAAGAACACCACTGGTCCTAACATGGACACTCTGGAACAGGGGAAGATGCTGATGCTGATACCCGCCGCCTCCTGTCCATGAAGATAACCAGGAGACTTCTGTTCATGTTTCCATGGAATATCACCACCATTCTCCTTGGAAGAGAACAAAATGTGAGGGTAAAAGGAAAAAAGTCTAGGTACAGTTCCAAAATATAATCACTATGAGTGTGTGGGTGTGTGCACGCGCTACTCCTGGGCTTTTCTGCTCAAGGACAGTGCTCTACTACTTTAGACACAATTCCATTTCCAGCTTTTCTTGTAGTTAATTGGAGATGTCTCATGGACTTTCCTGCCAGAGCTGGCTTTCAACCAGGATCCTCACCTCTCAGCCTCCTGAGTAGCTAGGATTACAGACACAAGTGATCAGAGCCTGGCTGTCCTACCAGAATTTAAACACTACAAAAGCCAAATACTGTAGCTCATGCCTATAAACCTTGCTGTAATTTAAAATCCAGTACATAGGAAGTGGCGTTGTAGCTCAAGTGGTAGAGCGCTTGCCTTGAGCTGAAGAGCTGAGGGAGAGCACCCAGGCCCAGAGTTCAAGCCCCACGACTGACAAAAAAAAAAAAAAAAAAATATATATATATATATATATATATATATATATATTTAAAATCCAGTACATATTCAAATTACTGTAATCAATCTCCCCTTGAGAGGATTTTTTTGGTTGGTTGTGGGGCTTTCACTCTGGACCTGGGCACTGTCCCTTAGCTCTTCAGCTCAAGGCTAGCGCTCTACCACTTGAGCCACAATGCCACTTCCGGCTTTACCACTTGAGCCACAATGCCACTTCCGGCTTTTTCTGTTTATGTGGTACTGAGGAATCGAACCCAGGACCTCATGCATGCTAGGCAAGCACTCTACTGAGCTACCTTCCTAGCATGACCTTATTTTTTTTTTGCCAGTCCTGGGTCTTATCTCAGAGCCTTGGCACTGTCCCTGAGCTATGATGCTCAAAGGCTGGTCCTCTACCACTTGAGCCGCATTACCACTTCTAGCCTTTTCTGAGAGTAGATTATTGGAGGTAAGTATCTCATGGATCTTCCTGTCCCAGCTAGCTTTGAACTGCCATCCTCAGATCTCAACCTCCTGAGTAGCTAGGATTACAGAAGTGAGCCACCAGTGACTGGCATTTGCCCAAGCCTTTACAGATTTTTTGTTTTCAAATGAAAATCCAATCAAGAATCTCACATGGGCTGGGTGCTGGTGGCTCATGCCTATAATTCTAGCTACTCAGGAGGCTGAGATCTGAGGATCACGGTTCAAAGCCAGCCTGGGCAGGAAAGTCCAAGAGACTCTTATCTCTAATTAACTACCAGAAAACTGGAAGTGGTGCTGTGGCTCAAAGTTACAGAGTGAGCTACTAGCACCTGACTTCTGCACAATTTTTAAATTAACTTTTCAATATTTCATTTTTTTTTGCCAGTCTTGGGGACTGAACTCTGGGCCTGGGCACTGTCCCTCAGCTCTCCAGCTCAAGGCTAGTATTCTACCACTTGAACCACAGCACCACTTCCGGGTATTTTTTTTGTTTATATGGTGCTGAGGAATCGAACTCAGGGCCTCATGCATGCAAGGCAAGCACTCTACCACTGAGCCACC